TTAATAAATGAGAGTTAAATTTTGTTAAATGGTGTTTCTATATGTAATAACATGATAATTTTTTCCCTTTACCCTGTTATTATGGGGGACTTTATTTATAGTTTTTCTAATATTAAAGTACTCTTGCATCTCTGGACTACATCGAAGCTGATCAGGGTACTAACTTTATTGTACACAGCCAGTTTTAGATTAATAAAATTTTGCTTATGATTTTTGAATTTCTATTGGTGCAAGAAAATGGCCAGCAATTTTTCTTTTCTCTTTTCTTTTTTTCCACTTAAGTTTGTTATCATCTTTGCCTATTCTTAGTAATAAGGTTATATTGGCTTCATATAATTAATTAAATTAGGAAGGTACCCCAATTTTGTTCTCTAGATAAATTAATATATGATTGAAATTATCTGTTTCTTAAAAATTTGGGTTTACTCTAAAATAATTTTGTTTTTCTTTTAAAAAATGGTTCTTAATTATTGATTAAATTTCTTTAATAATTATTGCATGAAAATTCAGATCTACTCATCTTTTTGAGTCAGGTTTGGTAAGTTATAATTTTATATGAATTTATGAACATCAACTAAGTTTTCAAACTTCTTGCATAATGATGTATATCAGTCTTTTCATACTATGTTTTTAATGTCTTTTATATCTATATACATGTTCACCTTTTTTATTTGTAATATTTTATGACTAATAGGATTCTATTGTGCTTTTTCATGTTTCTTAAGTTGGATGCTTAGAAGACCTTAATGACTATCAGAAGAGGAGAGAAGGTGTCATGGAAAGTTTACTTGGATGTAATTTCATGTTGTTTTCCTGTTGATCACTAATCTCAGGGCTTCTAGGTGTTGTTTCACTTACGATTGATTTGCAGCTGGTTTTGAAGTATTTCTTTAAAAAGAAATTAGTGATTCTGTTTAAGGATCCTACTTCAACTTTGAATTAAACAAAAACTTTTAAACTAGATATACCTACCCAGTATGAGAAGATCAGAATTTTTACTTTGAATCACTTGATTTCTTTTTTATTAATTTATTTTTTATACAGCAGGTTCTTATTAGTTATCTATTTTATACATATTAGTGTATATATGTCAATCCCAATCTCCCAATTCATCCTACCATCCCCCCTCCCCGCTTTCCCCCCTTGGTGTCCATACGTTTGTTCTCTACATCTGTGTCTCTATTTCTGAGAGACAGACTGGTCTCAGATGAGACTGGTTCATCTGTACCATTTTTCTAGGTTCCACATATATGCGTTAATATACGATATTTGTTTTCCTCTTTCTGACTTACTTCACTTTGTATGTCAGTCTCTAGGTCCATCCATGTCTCTACAAATGACCCAATTTCTTTCCTTTTTATGGCTGAGTAATAGTCCATTGTATATATGTACCACATCTTCTTTATCCATTCATATATCGATGGGCATCTAGGTTGCTTCCATGACCTGGCTACTGTAAATAGTGCTGCAATGAACATTGGGGTGCATGTGTCTTTTTGAATTATGGTTTTCTCTGGGTATAT